GATGACTACAGTACACACTTACATGAATATAAAAGGAAGAAATGTAAAGCAGCAAAATAAGAAAACTGGACTTCTTCTTTTTTTTAAAAAAAACCAATCTGTGACATTTCCAGTTGAGCTTTACATTAGTGGTGGGTTGCCAATTTTGTTACTATCGGTTTGGGTGCCCTTCTGCACATGTGACCCTTCTGTGCATGTGCAGAAGCATCCGGGCAGGTGGGCGGAGCCTCCCACCACCACTACTATTGGTTTGCCTGATCCGGGCCGAACTGGCAGCAACCCACCTCTGCTTTACATGTATGTAAAATAAGTGTATCTGTCAATTCAGAGTACAGGTAGTTCTCATTTAGTTGGGACCAGCAATTCTGTTGCTAAGCTGAAGTAGATGCTAAATTAAATCACAATTTGTATTTATGATCTTCAGTTTTCCTTTGGTTTACAGACCTCAATAGATCTTAGATACAAGGATTGGTCATGAAGTTTACTATTTCATCACTGTCATAATTGCAAATGGTCACTGAATGAGGCAATCACTAAATAAGAGTTACCTGTAACCTCCTTTCATGAAGTTTATTCTAACCCACAAAAATGTTTGCCACGGGACACTGTTTTCGTGGCAATAGAGCTAACCTTTTGGCAATCACCTGCTAACATTTGAGGAATTCTAGAAAGAGGGCAGCAAGACCAAATATTACTCTAAAAACCAGTTTTGTATTTCAAATCAAAGGGAGACTTTCTGCTTTCTCTTGTCCCTGTGTCTTTTTATGTTTTTCTCCTTCTGTGCCTTTTTTGTCTTTAAGCTGAACCTGGAATAATGCTCTGTGCCTTTCTCTAGACGCATACACCTGGACATCACGAATATTGCTCCTCACCAGTTTTCCAGATGCCGCGGAATTTGGCTCGACAGCCTTCAGCTCCACCTGTTCATCTGCCAGCCAGCAACCAGCAGGGTCCAGGGCTTTGCTACAGCACCAGCTCCACTGAGGACCTCCAAACGGGACATTCGTCTGCCTCCCTCATCAAAGCAATCCGAGAGGAGCTTCTCCGGCTCTCTCAGAAACAGACCATTGTACAGAACTTCCACAGCTGATTTGTCCTGTCCTTGCAAATTAGCCAATTATCTGCTTCCTGTGGAAGCTCGACTTGCAGGAAAATCAGCAAGAGCCTGCGGTTCTTCTGTCAGAGGAGTAAACATGTACAATACCAGGGATTTATGAAGCAGGAGAAAAGAACTCTTTGGTGAGCAGCTGCAGCAGCGCAAGAGAAGATCTCTGTGAATGATAAAGTTGGGAAGACTCAGCAAATGTTTGACAGACAACCATCTTTTAAACTTTCTACTTTTAAGCATTTTGGCATTATAATTGTACTTGGAGTAGGAGTGTTCTTTCGTAATAATGATCTGGAAATTCATTTGCTGCAAAGAAGGCAGTACTACCCTCTAAACGACAGTCATTGGAACATGCCAGCCCTTGATTAAGGAAAAAGAGGCACCTCAGATTAGTGGTAGTTCCTGAGTGGAAATTGCCGGCTGTTGGTGGGGGTGGGGGGTATATACTTCTGACGTGTTTCTTTTCACATACAATGCAAGTGGTGGTGTTCCTGTGCAAACAATTACTTTAATTAGACCATAGTGAGATTTCTTGAAGAAAGGACTTGGGAAACTTGCTAAACTAAGATAATAACCATTGCTTAATATTGCTTCCAAACGGAGCCAATCTTTGAACTTTTCTTGTTGTTCTTCTGGTGCTGAAGCTTCAAAGTGTCCCTTGATCCTGGTGTTTGCAAATGTAAAATGAAGGCCTTTAAAAAAAAAGAGCAGTATGAAGACACAAACAAAGGATATAATCATTTATTCAGGCTGGGGAAAACCATTTAATCCTCTTTTTAGAAACTGTACTTGGCACTAATAAGTTATTGATGGACAAGTAGCAGATGGATCAATAAGTGGAGAGACACATCCAGGGCCATTTCACAAGTGACGCAGAGAAAATTAAATGTGCATGAAGATGGCATTGCTGTACATGAATTATTTTTCCTTGGGCTCCCAAAATCCATGTGGGAAATCTATCATAGATAATATTTAGCAGACATGTGAGTAGCTCCAGGTTTTGTTTTGTTATTTTTTGTCTTTTCCCTTCCTTTGGAAGTGGATTCTTCTAATCTGAAAGATTGTAGTCATGCACGATCAATGATTTAATGGCTCTTGGTGCTGCCTAGAAAACTGAGCACGACTTACTAATCATTTCACAGAGAGTCACTGGACTCTATGGACAAAGGCAAGCCAAGCCCAAAAGTTATGTATCTTTCTGGATCTAAATATGTGAACATTTCATCCTGGAATGTTTTCTCATATTTACTTCCCACGAAGTAAATTTCCTTTTCTTGAAAAAGGATTGCAAATACATCAGTATAGACCCGCACATCCAAAGTGGTTTGCTTAAAAAGGAGCTTCACTTTCAGGAAGGGTATAGTACAGGGGTGTCAAAATCAATTTCATTGAGGGCCGCATCAGGGTTGTGTCTGACCTTGGAAGCCGTGTGGGCGTAGCCAGAATGGGCATCGCCAGCTTGACGTCACTCGTGTCGAGGGTGCCTATGGTGGCCCGAACGCTCT